AGAAATATCCATGTGATGTTTCATAGTGTTTTCTCTAGTTGGTATGAGAGTAGTGACAATCTCATGGACCCTTTAGCAGAGTGGCTGATCTTTCAAACCAGCAGGATACCCTGCCACAATCACGTACACTACTCTTAGTAACACTGTCATGGTGTTTATGAGTTTACTACTTCCCATAGCTCAGTGACAACACTGCCCCGGGGGGGGGGGAAACAAAGTACCAAATGGAAGCAGACATGTCATATGAATGTTCTATATCTAAGAGACAACCCTTTAAAAGGAGCCATTTCCGACAGCTCCTGTTATCAGAATGAGGTGTCAGGAATGCCAGTACAATTCCTGGCATACCTATGTATGTCAGGCTTAAGTATATAAGGGTGTTGCTGTGGGTTCCAGCATCCAAAGCTACCAATCCCAAGATCATCCATCCATCCATCATTTGATACCATCAAGAAGAACAGACAGAGAAATATGCATTTGTCTCTTATTTCACTCTGCATCATTTTAAACCTGCAGCTGCTCAGGACGTATCCCATTAGCACCGGTTTGACTGACACTGACATGGACATCTTAAACGTGAGTCTCCAAATGAGTGATTACGAAACCTGCTTTTGTAAAGTTGGAGTTTTTGGGGCTCTGCCATGTGAATTTAAGGAAATAAAGAAGGGACAACATCATAATGTCATGTGAAATATCGAACTTCAAGAGATAAAAAAATTGCAATACAGTAAGATTCCTTTTATTGTTTGACAGCAGCTTTCAATGAGGTCTTTGCAACCACATGCGATTTAATGTGGCTTGGTGATCTTTTTTATGTGCCATGTGAAATTTAATTGGTGCTCTAAGCAATTAATAACTGTATGATAACTACGGCTGCAACTGTATAACCCACAAATATTAACTTCAGGGACATTTACCTGACAGAATATTTGTTGTCTAAACTGTATGAAAATATTACAAATGCTTCTTTATTCTTAAAATCTTAACCAACTTGTGCCTTGGTGTTGCAGCTGCTACTTCACAGACTACAAGAGTCATTTTCACTGCAGACAGAAGTGGACCAGAGAGTCCCTGCAGAGCAAGATGGCCTGGATAGCCTGTATACAGAGAAGGGAGCAGATGGACAGCAGCCCCAAACTGGACTGGATGAGGCAGCAATCAGGGAATTTTTCTCAGCTAAGAACCTGAAGATCCTCCGCAACGATTCATCAAGGAGATCCTCGGGTTGCTTTGGTCGACGGATGGACAGAATAGGCTCGATGAGTTCTCTGGGGTGTAACACTGTTGGCAGATACAGTAAGTTACAATAACTCTACTTTAACAAGCACAGCAACCCTGCAGCTCCAGGCCAAACTGGTGTAACTTTTGTGGATCGATTAACCTAATAAAAAATAAAACAGTCATGATCCACCTCCACTGAAAGCACCAGAATAGCTCAATTTGCATTGTCTTTAAATGTGTTCAGTATTATATGGTGTAGTATAGTGTCCACACATATTTGTGCCATTAATTAAATTAATACTAAAATATATATTTCAAAAATAATCTTTATCTTTTTTTCTTGCAGGTTCAAAGTAAAGATGAAGTCTTACCATCTACGTTCTGGAACTGCAATGCATCTACCAAAAGATTTTTATCTGATTGCTATTTATTTACTAATATTTATTGACATTGTTTGTGGCTTGGGGTATATTGACTTGAATTGATTGTAAGATTGCTCTGTATTATGAATGTTTTAATATATTTCCACTTCTTAAAGTAAAGCAGACCTGTTTAATATCTATCTGGAGTGATCTCCAGTGGCAATTTGTGATTGTATCTAATTTACCTGCTCTATAAGTAAATAAAAATATATCTGTAAAGATTCTCAGTCATCCAGGTTGTGGTATCTGCAGGAGTTCATGAGAGTTGTTACGTTAAACATATAAGTTGTTGACCCCCTCTCCAACTAGTGGGCTGAGAGGTTGTTGAAACCTGTTTCACAACAGAGGATGGCACAGCACAGGAGAGCCCGTACAATTTCCACATGTTGTGCATGTATACATAAACAGTCTTTACTTAATTTTTGCACATCTGTACACATATACACTTCCTGAAGGTGAACAAACATAATTTCTGTCTACAGGACAGAAAACTGAAAGGTCTGTACCTGGGGAATTGATTTCTGTTTTAATAGTTTGAGCATATTACATTACACATTACATAATATTACATAAAAAAACAATCCAGTCTTTGATCTTCAAAGAAATTAAAGACTGGATTGTTATAATTGTAATTACTGTTACACTGCTTTTTAAATTTCATACCTCAGACAGACCCACCCAACCATCTCCTGCCAACTCATTTACACAACTGTGGCTCATTGATCATCCACACATGATCTGCTGTATGTAGGGACCTGCTCGACCACAACTACTCTGTTTTAAAGGGATAGTTCACCCAAAAATGAAAATTCACTCATTACCTAACTACTCACCATTATGTGTATGTGCTAAAAACGTGTATTAACACCATGTTTTTAGCCGAGATGCCCACTGTGATCCATGTGCAAACGCAGCTCTATGGGAGGAATATTAGAGGATGCTAAAACATGGTGTTAATTATGGTGTTTTCAATCAAATTTGAATGTCGGGGCTTATGGACACTTTGATGACACCACATTAGCAGGATGGAGGCATTTTTTTTCAGTAGTTTTTTACTTTTGAAGAAGTGGTCACCATCTACTTCTGCTTATACCTGAAACTCCAAAGTGTTTTGTCGACTCAAACACCCACCCCTGCATTGGCATAGTGGTGAGTAGACAATGAGTGAATACAATTTCTTACTATCCCTTAAGCCAATCTCAGACATGTTCTGCAGAGTATTAGGCAGACTTTTTCAGTCAACAATGCAGCGGGAGAGACTCCACTTAGACGTCTTCACAACAGCAACAAATTCTCTGCTGGATTCAGGCGTGTTGTTATGCAGCAGGGAGAGGTAGGATGTAACACATTATTTCATCATCGACCCCTCATTTGCAGTGAGTCCTGCAAAGGATCCTTTGCTGGGTTCTCACATCAGATTTATCGATTTTATACTTGTGGGCCAGGTGGAGAAAGTCCTTAGAAACTCAAACCATGAACTGAATAAAAACTCTGGGGTTACGTCATTGTCATATACCATGTTAGTATATGTGTGTATATGAGGCTTTCAAGGTGTAAACTCAAGTCCAACGTACCAAAGTAACCCCGATGCTTGGAGACTTTCCAGGGGGAAGGTCGCAATGTTAGACCATCCCCAATAACCAATAAGATTAGATCACGATGTCAGACCATAAATGATAGATGTAATGATAGACCAGTCAGATTAGTAACAGCCGTGGCCCTTAAGGGTAGATAAAGCGGAGCAACACCACTGTTTGTCAGAGTTTTTCTCTGGTGTGGCTCTGGCTCGCTACTGAATGCTCTCTGGTTTTCTTGTCGACAATAAAACTCCGCTGCTTTAAAGTTGACTTCTCCTGCTTTTTATTCGACTGAATTTTTGGACTTTTGGACCACGAGTGAAACTTAGTTTTCACCACAACAAAAGGGGGGCGGGAGAGAGAACACATAAAAAACATAGAATCATCACAGTACTCCTCCCTCAAGGGACACTTCCTGGCGGCCTACCAGGATTGTACTAGGCGTAGAAGTCTTCGCCACTGTACATCCAAAAAACTAAATTGAATAAAGCAATGTAGAGGGCATCAAAATAACTAAATGTCTATTGACTATTGTTGTAGTTAGTTGTGTATGATATACAACACTGCCAACACACATCCAGTAGAGTAAATTTGAGTTCTTTGAGTATATGGAGTTTAGAACTTGTGTACTCAACAACTGTGTATGAGATATAATATCAATTATAGCTGCTATAAGGAGCAATGGGTTGGGGCCAGGCATTTGAGGAAGTATAGGAGGAAAAAGAGAGGTGGAAGAGGTAAATTAGCTTTTCATGATGTATTTTGCTTGAATAGACATAAACTGAATTATTATGCTTCAACCATTGTTTGAACTCACATCTCAGACACTGAAGTCAGGTCATGATCTTGATGAGCTACCTGGCAGGTGACATCACTTGACTGATGTAACAGGACACTATAACGACATGCAGTCTGCAGGGCTGCTGACTATTATTACAGTAAACAATTCAGTTATTAAGATAAGATTTTGATAATTTTGTACTTCATCAGTATAATTTATTTTCACAAATGTAGATTGCTCCTTGAGTGAGAAACTGATGTATGATGTATTTCCTAAATAGGTGACATGATGATACATTCCAAAACATAATAAATTGTATTTGAGATAAAATTCTGAAATGTTTCAGTTCAATTCAAATAAGATATATTTGTATAGCGCCAAATCATAATACACATTATCTCAAGGCACTTTACATAGAAGGTCAAGACCTTAAAATCCTATTAATATAGAGAAACCCAACAGTTCCCACAATGAGCAGCACTTTGGCAGCTGTGGAGGAAAAACTCCCTCATTAACAGGGAAAAACCTCTAGCAGAACCAGGCTCAATGTGGGCGGTCATCTGCCTCGACCGGTTGGGGTGAACAAAGAAAAGGGGAGGAGAGGAGAGATGGGTGGAAAAGAGGGGAGAGAAGAGGGAATGATAGTGGCGAGGGGGAGGAGGGGGAGAGAGAGAGATGAGAGAGACCGGGAACACTTTAGCACCATCAGGTATCAGATCTGACTAGCTAAAATGTAAACAATAGTGTTAAGACTAATAATTATGTAATAAAACATGTCATTACATTTCATCTAGCTGACACATTTGTTCAAAGCGACTTAAAATCAGTACATTCACCCATTAGGTTACAAACCCAGAACAAGAATCAAGTAAGTTCAATTCAGCCAGGAACAATAACTCTAGTCTACAATTTAACCATTTAATGCACAAATGGGAATACAGTTGTGCTTGAGTGGATGGCTCCACTCTTTGGATGTTCCCTGGAGGGTAACTTACCTCTTATTAAGTTTGTTTTGACGACAGCAGCAATCCCGGAGCAACAACATCGCAGCGCTACCTGTTTAGCATCAGCAGCTAGCATTTAACCTAGCTCCTTAGCCTGAACTAATCAGGTAACATTGACCTCTGTGGGCATGACTTAGTTGTCATTCTTCACTCAGCGACCTCAGCTCCACTTGCGCTTCTCCTTTTTGCCCATTTATGGGTTAGCCAGGACCTAGGAAAGTCAGACACCAGCAAGACAGTGCCTGGTGAAATGCCCATTGAGAGACTAATTTTCAGTCTTCAGAAAGGAACGGCAACAGGAGGCGGAACAGGAGCAGGAGGTGTTGGCTTCACCGCCGACCTTGGAGTTAGAACAGGAGCATGACGCTTCAGCTTCACCACCAACCTTAGAGCAGATGGCAGTGTGGAGACCAGACCATTTGTGGAGACTGGAGTATGCGCTGCCGGAGCTGTGCCCCCCACCAACTTCAGCGCTACACGGAGATGGGGAATCGGACGCCAAATCAGAGCCACGTCGCTGCATCCTTCAGCTCAGTGCGGCAGGTGGGAGCAGGAGCAGATCTACAGAGGACGCTGTCTCTATAGCACTTAATACATACCTCACCCACCTGGAGCACTTCAATACATATGCCAGGATGATAATTGTTGATTTCAGCTCCGCATTCAACACAATAGTCCCCCACAAACTGGTAAACAAACTCAAAAACCTCAGACTATCCACCACATTCTTCTCATGGATTATTGACTTCCTCAAAAAATAGACCACAAACCGTTAGGATGGGCAACCACACATCCTCCATGATCGTCCTGAATACAGGAGCACCACAGGGCTGTGTGCTCAGTCCTGCATGAGTGAACTGATGGGTGTACAGTTCACTCATGACTGTATCAATCAATCAAATTTATTTATATAGCACGATATCACAACAAACAATTGTCTCAGGGTGCTGCACAAAAGTCCAAGATCCTAAGAAACACACGGGCCCTCCTGACTCCCTCATGGTCCAACATGCGTAGTAGTATGACCCATGGCTCCAAAGGTGAGAGGTCCTCAGGTGAGAGTGCTAGTGGTTGCGTGACCCTCCCTGTCAGCACTACGACAGACCAGCGACCTCACTAGATCCATCCCTCATCAGGACGGGCTCCGGAGAGCCGCACAGTAYGGACCAAGGAGGGGAGGAGAAGACCCAAGGAATTAGAGATATGTAATAAGATATAGCAAAATACACCAGGCAGAGAGTGAAGAAGAGAGCAGGTGCTGGTTTGTGGTGCCTGATGGGTGATCCCCCAGCAGTATAGGCCTATAACAGCATAGCTATGGATGACTAAGGTTCAGGGTTGAGCCAAAAAGCTTTATCAAAAAGGAAGGTATTAAGTCTAGCCTTAAATGTAGAGTCCGTGTCTGCCTCCCTCACTGAGAGTGGGAGCTGGTTCCAAAGTAGAGCTGGGTGACTAAAAGTTCTGCCACCCATTCTACTCTTAGTAACTCTAGGCACTACAAGGAGTCCAGAGTTTAGGGAGTGAAGTGGTCTGTGGGGGCAGTAAGGGGTTGTGAGTTCTTTAATGTAGGATGGGGCCTGATTGTTGAGGGCCTTATAAGTCAGTAAGAGGATTCTGAAATCTGTCCTCCAGTTGAACAGGAAGCCCGTGAAGTGAAGCTAAGACAGGAGTAATGTGATCCCGTCTTCTGGTTCCTGTCAGTACTCGTGCAGCAGCATTCTGCACTGGCTGAAGGGTTCTTAAGGATCAGCTGGGACATCCTGATAATAGGGAGTTGCAGTAGTCTACCCTAGATGTAATAAAGGCACAAATCAGTTTTTCAGA